TGGGAGTGCTCCTGGAGGTCTCTTGGGGCATCTTGGAGGCTTGTTGGGTCATCTTGGAGACGTCTTGGCCGTCTGGAGGCCATCTTGGGCGCCGTGGAGCGATCTTCGGGCGTCTCGGACCTCTCCTGGATTGTGTTGGGGGCCTCTTGGGGCCCTCTTGGGCCGATCCTGGAGGATCTGGGGGAGTGTCCCGGGCTCCGCCCGGGGTACTTTTGATCCAGGGACCCCCAGGGGCCGCCCCGCGCGCGCGAACTAGAAATACTGTTTACCAGTTACCGGAGATCTTAGCACGCCTCTGGCCCGTTGGGCCGGCGAGTTATTTTTGTTTTGTTGAATATGTATGTATGTATGTATGTATGTATGTATGTATGTATGTATGTATGTATGTATGTATGTATGTATGTATGTATGTATGTATGTATGTATGTATGTATGTGTGTGTATATATATATATACCCCCGGAACAGGAGCGAGGCCGCCAGGAGTGGACCTGCGCCCCCCATGGGGGGTCCGGGGCTCACTTTCCGAGGCCGCCAGGAGTGGGCCTGCGCCCCACATGGGGGCTCCGGGGCTCACTTTCCGTGTGTGTTTTTACAGGGTTTCGGCGTTCCAGGGCCTCCGAGGCGGCAGCGGCGACCCCAGACATCTTGTTTACCTTCGGACGGAGGCCCAAAACCAGCCCCTGAACGCTCCAAGACGGCCCACGACGCTTCCTACACCGCACCAAGACGGCCCCAGAGAGCTCCAAGCGGCCCCCACGACGGCCCAAGAGGGCCCCAAGACGGCACAAGAGGCCCCCAAAACGGTCCAAAGGAGTTCCGACACGGACCCCGAGAGGCGAACAAAAAAACTCACAGAGGCCCTCCACATGCCCAGGCCGCCCAAGAGGCCAAAAAAGACCCCGAGATACACCAGAGCATACCCCAAGAGGCTTGAAAAACTGCGTCTCACCCTGCCTCTTGTCCGCCTTATCACCTTCCTGCTCCTCATTTCTTCTGGTTGTCCAGCTTTCTCCCGGTCTCAGGAAATATAAACATATTCCCGGAACTGCCAGGAACAGCATTCCTCGAGTGTTTTTGTTTTTGTGTTCTTCGCCGCCCTGCTCCATCGTCATTCCCTGATCCTCCCCCTGCTGCGGCTGCTCTTCATGCTACTCCCGCACCTCCCCCTTCCCCCTCCTCCCGCTCCCCTTCTCCATCTTCTCACCCACTTGCTTGTGGAGCTCTCTCCCGGTCTCTCGAAGTACGTTCCCGGAACGCCTGCCGGGAACATAATTTCTTTGCTTGCGTTCGAGTGTTTCTTTTGTTCTTCGCCACCCTGCCTCTTCGACTTTCTTCTCATGTCCTCCTCCTGCTGCGGCTGCTCAATATGCCACTCCTGCACCTCCCCCTGTCCTTCTTCTACCTCCTCCTGCTCCCCCTGAACCTCCCTTCCTCCCGCTCCCCTTCTTCTCCTCCTCACCCTCCTTCCCTTCCGCCTACTCCTTATGTCCTGCTCGTCCTGCTCCCCCTCCTCTTCCTGCCGCTCACCTTGTCCTGCGTGTCTGTCCTCCTCGTCCTTCTCATCCTCCTGCTCCTCCCTCTCCTCTTCCTCCTCCTCATTCTCCTCCTCCTCCTCCTCGAGATTCCTCCTCCTGCTCTAGCCCTCCTCCTCCTTCCTGTCCTCCTCCTCCTTCTCGGGCTCCTCCTCCTCCTGCTGTCACGAAATATGTTCTCGGGAAGCTTCCCGGGAATGTAATTCCGCGTGCCTCCCTTTCTCCACCTCACCGATATTATCCTCCTTCTCGTTCCCCCTTTATTTCTCGGGTTCCTCCTCCTCCTCCTATCGCGCAAGATGTTCCCAGGAAGACTCCCGGGAACATAAGTCCCATCCCCTTGCTCAAGCGCCTGATCCCTCCAGGGCGGCCCTTCCCCCTCCTCCTCCTTCCTCTGATCCTCCTCCTCTGGCTGCTCTTCCTCCTACTCTCCCTCTTCTTCCTCCGCCCTCCTGCTTCCCCTCGACTTCTCCCTCTCTCTCCCTTGCTTCTGCCGTGTGTCCTTCCTCGTCACTCCGCGGGTCGTGGGGCCGAAGAGTCTCGGAAGCCGATGGGTCGTGGGGCCGCGATGAGGATCCTTCGACCCTAGAGGTCAGGAGCGTCCGGGACCGACGGATTCGGAGGACTCCTGGGGCCGACTTCAAGGGTCGTGGGGCCCGCGGTTCCCGGAGGTATCCGGACCTGGGAGGGCGCCCGGATCGGGGGGCGCCCGGGCCAGGGAAGGGGGGGGGGAGGAGGAGGGCAGAGGATATTGAGGAGGAGGAAGAGGAGGAGGAGGAGGAGGAGGAGGAGGAGGAGGAGGAGGAGGAGGAGGGAGGAGGAGGAGGAGGAGGAGAGAGGAGGAGGAGGAGGAGGAGGAGGAGGAGGAGAGGGAGGAAAAGGAGGAGAGGGGAGAGGGGGAGGAGAAGAATGTGTAGGAGGAGCAGAAGCAAATGAGGAAAGAGGGGGAGGTGGTGGAGGAGAAGGAAGGGAACTAAGGAAACGGAGGAAAGAGACAGGCGAGGAAGGGGGGGGAAGAGGACGAAGGAGGAGGAAGGAGAGAAGAAGGAGGAGGGGGAGGAGGAGGAGGGGGAGGATAAGTGCGGACATATTTATTTATACACATAATAATACATGTGTGTGTATATATATATATATATATGTGTGACTGTGTATATATATACACACGTATATATTTATAAATATGTTTATACACATAAGAAAAGGCCTGCCCTGATACTTCTGCCAGGGCCTTGCCGTGATCTCGGCTAGAACCAAGGCGCGCGCGAAGCGCGCGATGATTTTGGTTTCCTCGTTGATTTAATTGCAAGAAAATCGTGGTCAAAAAAGTGTGCCGCCGTGGAAGGGGTCCAAACAAGTTGGCAAAATCGGGGCCGAAAAAGTGCCCCAAATCGTTGCCATACGGGGGGGGGGGGGGAGGGCGCCGCGGAGAGGCGGCGGGGGGGTCGGGGAGGGGGCCAGGGGCTCCCCCGGGGATCCCCGCTCGGTTGGAGAGGATACCCTCGCGGCGGGCTGCGCTGCCTCGCGCGGCGGGTTCGCGATTGCGCCGCCACGCCCGCGGCCGCTGAGGCTTCGAAGCCGACGTTTGCCGTCGGGTCCCTCTTCTCCGCCACCAGCGCAGCCGCGCGCCGTGACCCCCAGCGGAGAGCGCCGGGCCCTCGCCGCGGTTGCGGCGGACTCTGCGCCAGCGGCCCCCGCGCTGGCGGTGGGCTCCACGAACGCCTCCCCGGAAGCGGAGTTTGCTCGACTTGCGCGGGCACGAGGCGCTCGTGCCCGAGCGTCTCTTGTTCATGCAGGGTCTCCAAAGTGTTTTTTTCTTGCGGTCCGTCGGTCCCGCGCCGGCGCGATCCGTCATGCATCAGCTTGGGAGGTGTTTCTCCCGCGCAAGCAATCGGTCGCGCGGCCGGGGCAGCGCGTTGCGTTTCGACGACGGCGCGCGCCGATTTCGTCTGCGCTTCGACGCGCGTTGAGTTTCGCGCGGGCGCTATGCCCAACAACCGCGGATAGAAACGTCACCGCGGTGATGAATTCCATAGCGGTTATGGGGCGGCCTGGTTCGGGGGCCGCGTTGGTCGCGCCTCCGTGGCGCGCCTGGCGCGATTCAATGGCGGGGGCAGGCGGCGCGCGGTAATTCGATGGCGCGCGGGCGTTCCACGATGCCGCCCCGCGGTCCAGCTCGAGGAAAGCAACATGTAGGACATATCATATTAGAATTTCGAAATCATTACAACTCCTTTGGGGGGCTCTGCTCGGCAAGAAGGCGCCCGCGCGTCGCGCGTCGCGGGGCGCGATGGGGGAAGTTCGGCGGCTTAGACACATCGTGAAGCTGTGTCCGTGTTCGCGCACGCGCTCCTGCTCGCGAGCGTGCCCTCGTGTTCTGGGCGCCGAGGCGCGATCCTATGGACGCGAGGTTTCTTGGATACGCTCCGCGCGGGGCATCCGCGCAGCGCCGCCCCGTATCCATGGGGTCTCGGCCGAGATGTTCGCGCCGCGTTGCCGTTGATGTTTTCCCCGCCCGCGAGCCGTTCCCTGAGATCCTGGCGTTGTTTTTTCTCGATCTGGGCATTTTTGTTTTTTTTCGGGCCCGGGGACCTTCGCAGGTCGATCCGGCTCGACAAATGGCGCAGACAGATTTTGCCAAGGGCTCCGGTCGTGGTTTTCTGGCGATGTTGTTTTTTTCCGCTATGTCGGATCTCAGGGTGGCTCCGTGTGAGTTTCGGCGGCGAGCGAGCGGGGGAACGTGAGAAGGAACAAACCTTTTTCAGATGGTTCGGACGTCCCGTGCTTTTGAACAGTTTTATCAACCTCTCGAGTACAGAAATTCCTCAGAAGGCGCGAGGAATTCTGTGAAGTCCCACCGCCTTTTGAAAAAGGCCTTCTCCTACTCATTCCCCCCCTCGCGCGCCGGCGAAAGGTGAAGAGCTTCGTGGAGTCGTCGGAGCTGCCCGAGAGTATCCGCTGGGGGGACCTGGCGCCCATCTGCGCGCGCCTTGGCGAGCCCCGCCGTGCGGAGCTGGTCCGGGAGGGCTGCGAGCAGGGCCACCTGGTCTTCGACCGCAGAAATTTAGGTCGGGCATGTCCCTGTACAGGAAGAATATCCCCAAGTCGTAAACATTTGTATGGGGACTTGTTTTGAGCATTTCTTGTTTATTTTTTTCGTCCAAGCTCCACCTGTAGGAGGACATGTCCGACCTAACACAAGACACGGGACACCACCCCACCTAAGGTAGGTTCGCGTCGCGTCGACCGGCGGGGACCCCGCCGCCGGCGTTCAACGTGGAGCGCCGCCCGTGGCTCAGAGTCGGCCCATCCTGCTGGGCAAATTTTCCACCACCACTACCATATGTAGGACGGGGGAGGAGAAGGGAAGATGGAGAGGTCCTCCTCCTTCTCCTCCTACTCCTCCTCCTCCTCCCTCTCCTACCTTTGGTAGTGGTGGTGGAAAATTGGCCCATCACATCCCTTTAACGATTCTACGTTTCGGAAGCGGCCGATCCTTCCAGGGCGAACGAGCTCCGCAGTGTCAGAAACCAACGCCGAAATCGGCACGACAAGAGCTTGCCGTACGGCCTTCCATGTTGCGCTCCTGCCCATCGGGGGCCGCGGCGTATACCGCGCGAGAGCCCACGCCAGATTTTTGCTGGTACACGCTGAGCCCCTTTTTCTCCAGGTGGGCTGTTGTCGTCGCTTTTTGGGTCCAGGTCTACGAGCTGCTCGCCAGGGAGGGCGCCGTTCCTTCGGGCGTCTTCTCGGAGTGGTGGCTGCTCGAGAGCCGCTTCGGCGCCCTCGGCGCGTTTCTGGAGGACAGGTTCCCAGGCACGGCGGCCCTGGAGCAGCACGAGCGCACTGTGCGCTACCGGCTCCCTGCGGGGTCGACGCTGGCGAAGATCTTCCGCAACCTGGAGGCGATCGGAGTGCGCCAACTTTACACCCACGCCGCCTGGCCAGGCCGATCCTTGGCCCAGAGTCGATGCAGGTGCCCTTCTGGCCAGGTCGGGAAGGGTGCGCGCACCGATCCTGGGCCTGAGACGGGCCTGCACGGGACAGGCCTCCAGAGGTCTGCAGAGTTTCCCAGAGGCTTCGGAGAGGAACAGGCGCGTCAAAAGACCTCGAACCTCTCCCCACGGAGGCGAGCCAGCGCGAGCTCGCCCTCGAGGAGTACGGCATCTGCCAGACCAGCCTGGAGCAGATTTTCAACGACTTCGCGGCCAGGCAGCAGGAGGAGACGGGCGCCGTGCGAGGGCTGTTCGCGAGCGGCCACGCGGCGGTGACGGCCCAGCTGGGCGGCTCTGCTTTGGAGGTTGATAGCGCCTCACGGGTCGCCGGGGAGGCTTAGAGTTTTCTGTTCGAGCCGCAAGCTCGCGCTACCCATCGCGCGCGCGCGCGCCCGTCGCGCTGTTTTTTCTCTCTGGTGCAGCATGTCGATGGGTCGATGCCCGCGGGGGCATCTCCCAGCATACAGGCGGATGTGTGGCGACGGGCGATGGCGCCCCCCAGCTGCTCACAGGAGGCCCACGCGGAGGCGCGGAGGCTGGCGGCACAGGTGCTCGGAGATCCGTGGATGCCCGAAAATCGTGCGCGAACATCCCAACGCCAAAGTGTGACCGAGAGCCGCGCGCGGCCTTAACTTGTGCTCCATACCGTTCCACAAGCCACATGCTGACTGAGCCCTCGCTCCACCAGTAGCACACCATGACCAGAATTGCGCTCCAGAGTATTACCAAGGCTGTGCCAAATACGTGGGCCTGAAGCAAGGGGTGACGATTATAGCTTGATTGGGCACAAGAGTGAGGAGCGATCCCCATGGGGATGAGTATGAATTACTCGGGAGCTGAGCAGCTCGCACGACATATAATTGTACAACATGATGTGGCATAGTATGATATGCTTCTTCATGTAACAGCAGATCGTATACTTTCGCAGCAGGGTAGCACATTTCATCTGGGCATGTGGCAGCACTGCATTGTCTTGCATCTGAGATTGGGGTGCCAAAGCGAAGTGCTCTTTTTTAGAAATCGGCTTCGGTTTCATTTCGTATCGTGCATGCGAGCGATGCGAGGCTGCGTGGGAAAGGTGCTGCGTCGGCGTAGCTAGCGCCAAATCGGGCGACAAGTTTCTGCCGTCGCCTGTCTCGCGGTGCCGCGTGGGGTTGTCCCGTGGGCTGTCCAGTAGTTGTCCTGCGTGTTGTCCAGCGGGGGTCCCGCAGTTGTCCAGTGAGTTGTCACACGTGTGCCCGGGCCCGTTGTGGCACCCCACCAGTTGAGCTGCACCGAAGGCCGCAGCGGCAGGAATCAACTGCGTCCCTAGGCCCATTTTAGTACACCCATCACACAGCTCGCGGCCCCATAGGGAGCTCCACAGAAGGCCCCAGTTCGCAGTGCAGGAATCACATGCGTCCCCAGACTTGTGGCATACATGCACACAATTCACGCGCTTCGTGGCCACATAGGAAGTTCCACCGAAGGCCGCTGTGGAAAGAATCACATGCGTCCCCAAGGAAATGTCTCCCCCCCGCCCCCCCCCCATTTTTTTCTCGGCAGTTCTCGGACACAGAAGCAGCGGGAGAAACGTGGGACTGAAGAGTTAAGACCTGGAGGAGCAAGAAAAACGACTGGATGCAACTGGCAGGAGGATTCAGGGACAAGATCAGCGTGCGAGTATGGGGGAGGGAGGAGGAGGGAAGGAGAAATGATACGAGGGAGCCGGCGGACGGGGAGGAACATGCGACGATGGGTCTTTCGCCAGGTTGATTTGGTTTCAAAAGCTTTTGCGTGATTTCGGAGGACGCGGTTCTTCGGTTCTCTGGTTCTCTGAGACCGCCTTTTTGGCACCGCAAACCGCATCAGAACAAGCCAAACTATCATCCAGGTGTCGAAGGCAACCCCATGACAGCCCAAGATGGCCACAAGACGCCCCTCCCAAAGCACTGCAAGTCGTAGCCTTGTTTTTGAGGGAGACCGCGGTTGGTAGCAAGGTGGCCCAGAAATTGGACCAGATGGCCCGAGGGCCCATGAATCGAGGCACGATGGTCCAAGGGAACGCACGGGTTCGGCCGAAGAGCCAACGCCCCCTGGGGGGCAAAATCATATTGTGAGAGCGCGGCGGTTTTCTTTTCTTCGTTGCCGCGCATGCTCATCACCGCGCTGAGGGGGCTGGGGAGGCTCAGACCAGCGCATTTCGTCGATCGGCGATGTATCGCCGATTCCTTCTCAATATTTTCCACTGTGAGCCGGTCCCCACCTGACGTTGTCCCTCGCCAGAGGGGTATCTTCGTCCACTGGCGCAGTGCGAGTCGAGCCATCCTCTTTTCGGCGTGGCCGCCAGGAGCTGCGCAGCAGGGTGAAGCAGCTCTTCTCCTCGCACGAGGGTACCGTCAGGCCGCCCTGCAGACGCCAGAGCGCGCGGGGTTGCCTGGGGATGACAGGACGCCATCTCGGGGCTGCCAAGAACTACCTTTATCGCAGTTCGGGCGAATCGCTTGCACGATCGAGTCGGCCGAGCGAGGCGCCGCTCGTAAGGGGTACAGTCGCCCGTGGGAAGCGTAATTTCAGACCTCTGGTGCCTTGATTGTTTCAGTGCGTGGTCCCGAGGCCTCTCGGCCTCTTGCTGGCAGCATCCCGCCGTCGCCGTTGCTGTCGCCGTTGCTGTCGCCGTCGCCGCCGCCGCTTCCGTCGCCGCCGCCGCCGCCGCCGCCGCCGCTGCCGTCGTCGTCGTCGTCGTCGTCGTCGTCGTCGTCGTCGGCGTCGTCGTCGTCGGCGTCGTCGTCGTCGGCGTCGTCGTCGTAGTGGCCGTGGTCGTCGTCGTCGGCGTCGTCGTCGTCGTCGGCGTCGTCGTCGTCGTCGTGGCCCTGGTCGTGGTCGTGGTCGTGATCGTTTTGTTCCCCACATGCTTCGTGGGGTTCTGGTTTTCTTCCCTTCCGCGTCTCACCCGCGTCTCCTCCTTCTCCTTCTCCTCCCTCTCCTCTTCCCTGCCGCGCCGCACCCGCGCTCATTCACCTCACTCAGCTCAGCTCAGCACAGCACGGCACAGCACAGCTCGGCTCAGCTTAGCTGAGCGCGCAGGGGGTAGTCTCCCTATGCGTGCCAGCACAGCACAGCACATCACAGCAGAGCACAGCACAGCACACCGCAGCACAGACAACACAGGCAGTGACACTTTCTCGACACCACAGGGGGTGCGCAGAGGGTGGTCCCTCAGCGCGGCCTCTATCCGTGACACGCTCGCAGATCGTGGCAGGAGTGGCACTTTCTCGACACCACAGGGGGTGCGCAGAGGGTGGTCCCTCAGCGCGGCCTCTATCCGTGACACGCTCGCAGATCGTGGCAGGAGTGGCACTTTCTCGACACCACAGGGGGTGCGCAGAGGGTGGTCCCTCAGCGCGGCCTCTATCCGTGACACGCTCGCAGATCGTGGCAGGAGTGGCACTTTCTCGACACCACAGGGGGTGCGCAGAGGGTGGTCCCTCAGCGCGGCCTCTATCCGTGACACGCTCGCAGATCGTGGCAGGAGTGGCACTTTCTCGACACCACAGGGGGGGCGCAGAGGGTGGTCCCTCAGCGCGGCCTCTATCCGTGACACGCTCGCAGATCGTGGCAGGAGTGGCACTTTCTCGACACCACAGGGGGTGCGCAGAGGGTGGTCCCTCAGCGCGGCCTCTATCCGTGACACGCTCGCAGATCGTGGCAGGAGTGGCACTTTCTCGACACCACAGGGGTGCGCAGAGGGTGGTCCCTCAGCGCGGCCTCTATCCGTGACACGCTCGCAGATCGTGGCAGGAGTGGCACTTTCTCGACACCACAGGGGGTGCGCAGAGGGTGGTCCCTCAGCGCGGCCTCTATCCGTGACACGCTCGCAGATCGTGGCAGGAGTGGCACTTTCTCGACACCACAGGGGGTGCGCAGAGGGTGGTCCCTCAGCGCGGCCTCTATCCGTGACGCGCTCGCAGATCGTGGCAGGAGTGGCACTTTCTCGACACCACAGGGGGTGCGCAGAGGGTGGTCCCTCAGCGCGGCCTCTATCCGTGACACGCTCGCAGATCGTGGCAGGAGTGGCACTTTCTCGACACCACAGGGGGTGCGCAGAGGGTGGTCCCTCAGCGCGGCCTCTATCCGTGACACGCTCGCAGATCGTGGCAGGAGTGGCACTTTCTCGACACCACAGGGGGTGCGCAGAGGGTGGTCCCTCCGGCCTCTATCCGTGACACGCTCGCAGATCGTGGCAGGAGTGGCACTTTCTCGACACCACAGGGGGTGCGCAGAGGGTGGTCCCTCAGCGCGGCCTCTATCCGTGACACGCTCGCAGATCGTGGCAGGAGTGGCACTTTCTCGACACCACAAGGGGGTGCGCAGAGGGTGGTCCCTCAGCGCGGCCTCTATCCGTGACACGCTCGCAGATCGTGGCAGGAGTGGCACTTTCTCGACACCACAGGGGGTGCGCAGAGGGTGGTCCCTCAGCGCGGCCTCTATCCGTGACACGCTCGCAGATCGTGGCAGGAGTGGCACTTTCTCGACACCACAGGGGGTGCGCAGAGGGTGGTCCCTCAGCGCGGCCTCTATCCGTGACACGCTCGCAGATCGTGGCAGGAGTGGCACTTTCTCGACGCCACAGGGGGTGCGCAGAGGGTGGTCCCTCAGCGCGGCCTCTATCCGTGACACGCTCGCAGATCGTGGCAGGAGTGGCACTTTCTCGACACCACAGGGGGTGCGCAGAGGGTGGTCCCTCAGCGCGGCCTCTATCCGTGACACGCTCGCAGATCGTGGCAGGAGTGGCACTTTCTCGACACCACAGGGGGTGCGCAGAGGGTGGTCCCTCAGCGCGGCCTCTATCCGTGACACGCTCGCAGATCGTGGCAGGAGTGGCACTTTCTCGACACCACAGGGGGTGCGCAGGGGTGTTCCCTCAGCGCGGCCTCTATCCGTGACACGCTCGCAGATCGTGGCAGGAGTGGCACTTTCTCGACACCACAGGGGGTGCGCAGAGGGTGGTCCCTCAGCGCGGCCTCTATCCGTGACACGCTCGCAGATCGTGGCAGGAGTGGCACTTTCTCGACACCACAGGGGGTGCGCAGAGGGTGGTGGTCCCTCAGCGCGGCCTCTATCCGTGACACGCTGAGAGGGTGGTCCCTCAGCGCGGTGACACGCTCGCAGATCGTGGCAGGAGTGGCACTTTCTCGACCCACAGGGGGTGCGCAGAGGGTGGTCCCTCAGCGCGGCCTCTATCCGTGACACGCTCGCAGATCGTGGCAGGAGTGGCACTTTCTCGACACCACAGGGGGTGCGCAGAGGGTGGTCCCTCAGCGCGGCCGCTATGCACGACGGTCGTCCAGGGCATAGCAGGCGTGGCACTTTCTCGACGTCATACGGGGTGCGCAGGGGGTGGTCCCTCACCGCGGCCGCTATGCACGACGGTCGTCCAGGGCATAGCAGGCGCGGCATTGTCTCTACACCATAGAGGCTGCGCAGGGGGTGGTCCCTCACCGCGGCTGCTACGCACGACGGTCGCCCAGGGCATAGCAGGCGTGGCAATTTCTCGACACCATAGAGGGTGCGCAGGGGGTGGTCCCTCACCGCGGCCGCTGGCTGGCTCGAATCTGTCCTCGATGGAGGATAGAAGGCTAGGAAGAGGGAGGAGGTTCAAGCAATATGGCGTTGGATGACACATAGGGGAACATTCGCGACGAGGGCTGAGAACGCAGAATTGCGCATATATTATAAACTTAAGCAAACACATAAGATTTAAATTAAGTAT